TTTGGGTAAAAAAAAAGTTGAAGCAATATTTGAAAATGGTAATTTAAATGTACCATATTTGTCTTATTAAGTATTATGAGTAAAGAGTCTATACATCCAAAATGGATTAAAGGCCTTAACCCGATATTTTGTATCTTGGCATACATTTCTCAAATATATTCCGGATAAGAACATCTGGCCCTGAGATTTCTCAAAAGGAAATGAGTTTCATAGGAATCCTAAATAATTTGATCTAATATTTAAAAATCTACTGTCAGAATATATTGGCTAAGTGAATTTGAAATTCATTCTGTTACTTTCTCTGCTCACTTCATTTCCTGACTAGAGAGAGGCAAGGGAAAGGACTGCACTGCTTACCTAAGAATGCTCACAATGCCTATGCACACTGCTCAGGTGATTTACTTCCATCACCTGTGGGACTCCAGATTCTGTTTGGTACATAGTGATAAATGAGGGCTCAGATAATCTCCATATATAGGGAGGAGAGTTTGTCAGAGTCAGGGACATAATTCCATAGTCAGTATGAATATATGCATTAAACATTGCTCCAAAGGAGTGTAACGGAAAATAAGTGTGATCAATATCACTCTTAAATTGTCTTGTCGTATTCATATATCACAGGACACATTTCTATAGTTTTATAGTGTTGCTATAGTTTTTGATCTACATGATCACGTACTTGAATATGGATGATTTTTCTTTTCTTTTGCTCTTGTTATTACTTTGTACTTATTTCTTTAGACTCACTTGGCGATTGTTTCAAAGTTTATACAAAACACTCAATTAAGACCACACACATTTAGTTCAATAACTTATTGCTGAGATGTTTTAAAAAATCAGAATTCTGTGAGACAATATACATGCATGTGATTGATTATTTAGTGCATAGCCTAAGGAACATGAGAAGTCTGAGAAGAAGATAAATGAGCGCAATTCCTTTGTGCCGGAGCACCCCTCTGCTAATGAATAGCTGATAGAGGATACCCCTCTAGCCAGTGGCAAGCAGATAGATAAAGTGCTTCAAAAACTTAAACATGGCAGGGTGACTTTTCCTTCTATGTCTATGTAACCCAAAATGACATGGAGGAACGAACAACAAGAACAAAACAAAAAAACAAAACAGAAAGTTAATGAAGAATTCTGACACTCAACAAATTTGGGATTGAATTATGACATGGACATTTACTTTGTAGGCATCAGCCAAACACCTGCATCAACTAAGCTCAGTGTCTTTAATTGTAAACTCAGGGTAACACTTGCCTAGCATGTGTGAGGCACTGGGTTCAAGTCTCAGCACCACATATAAATAAATAAAAGCCCATCAATAACTAATAAAAATATCTTTATAAAAAGAAATGTAAGAGTAGTGCCAATAGATATCATGGTTTAAAATTTAACCCACCCTTACCAACCATAATGTCTAGAACAGAAAGTTAATTGTTTCACAGTAGTTGGAATGTATTGATTCTGCCTTTTCTATTAATATATTTATTGTTGAGGATAAATCACAAATGACATTAATTGGACATGGAACTTGCCTATTTTATATACATTTCCAAAATCAGCATGAATTTTGTACATTATGAAAAGGAATTTTTTTATTCAGATGTAAAAGTATAGATAATTGTGAGTTGGTGCAGTTAGTTTACTTAGTAATTTCAATAATAAAATAAAGATAAAACTAATTTAATAGCTACCACACATTGAACAAGATCTAAATGAGGGACATGTTGATAATAATCTGCAATCCATATATATATATATATATATGTATATATATATATATATATATATGGTACATAATATATATATATATATTATGTACCTAAAGCCATAACGTGCTATATTTTTCCCAAGCCAACATTATCTTTAAGGACCTGTTATAATACATATGAAATTCTATGGCATACTTTCCCTTGGATTTCATAATTACTTATGAGCAAGCATAAATTATTTTATGCCACAGCAATTTCAATTGGATGGACCTTTTGATATCTGGCCTTATTTGAATGCCTATTCCTTTTTTCCTGGTGTATAATAAAGTGTATACATACTCAATTATCATAGAAATCCTCCTGTTCTCTTCAGGGCTGGCAACACTTGGAAAGTGGGGATCAGTACAGTGAAAGATTAATCAAAGCCAGAAATAAATAGATCTAATTCATTGAAGTCTCTGCAACCAGTAAACTCTGCTTTTACAAAGTGTTTTAGGAGCTAAAAAATTATATTTAGGCATTGTTTTGTCATAGCCATGTTAGCATTTAGATAAAGTAAGTATATGGATAAGGAGGGTGTAGGGGCATTATATAGAAGTCTGGAAATTTAGATGCATGGCTTTCATGTTTCCAAAAGTATATAATGCTGCTCTCCAACAAGGGTTGAAAAATTATGACCCACAGGAAAAATTTGACTTCCCATCTGTTTTTATAAATTAAGTTTCACAAGAATATACGGGTTACTCAGGAGGTTATCAAATGATCATCTCTCTCCTGCCTTAATTATTTTCTTCAATCTCACTGACCCATGTTTATATCTGTATCATTATAGATAACAGCAGACATTCAGACTGCTATGCTCATGATAAATAGGTACTGAATATAGTAAATGTAAAGAACACTGTTTGATTTATATTCTGTACGTGGGGATCTTGTTAAAAATCAAAGTCAAATTCTTATAAAACTCTCTTAAAATATGGCCTAGTTCTCTTAAATAATTGTGTTTTATAGTTGGTATTTCTATTTGACCTCTGGGCCATGCCAGGATGACTCATAGGTCATTACAAATGAAAGTCTGAAAAGGAAGGGCAAGATTGAAGAAAAAACTCATCCATCTTCTTCAGTCCAGAAACCAATGCAATATGGATCTGTCCTGAACTAAACCTAGAATGTAACAAATATCTTATTTGTAATCATAGAACTGACTTAAAAGTTTGTAGGAGTCTGGGTAGATATCCAGAAAGATCCCTGCCTTGGTGGCATTTCTGACATAATATGTGCCATCCCAGGTATTATGTGTCCCTTTAACCTTTCTGGTCCCTACCAGTTCCTCTGTATAAGTGGGGTCACAATGACATGCTTTCACAAAACAAGAAGATAAGCATCATCATACTTGGAGTTATTTTTCTGGTCTGAGATGAATATCCAATTCTGCCAGTCAATATTTTTATATTCATTCTGCAGAGTAGAATGTAAAAATAAGGAAACTGCAAATTCTCTCAAAATTTAGGAATAATAGCTGGTTGTTTTTGCTGCTAGGTTAAGAAGAGAAAAGGAAAACACACACACACACACATACACACACACACACACACGTGCACGCACATGCACAGTTAAGTTTGCTTAAAAGACTGATTGAACCTATTCATGTAAATGTCATTGTTAGAATTTTGTCATTTGACTTCCTTAAAATATCAGTGTGGCAGTAATGGAGATGTATAATTTGAATCCCTTGTTATGAGGAAGTCTTAGAACTTCAACCATCTTTTGATAAACTTAATTTGAATTTGTATTATTAGCCTTACTTAAAAGCATGAATTTTTTTCCTATAAGTATTTTAAAGTAATTGTAGTGGTTTATATATTTTGATACATTTGTTATTGCATTGTTGCAATAAAAAAATCTTTTATGTTAGAAAGGGGAAAGAGTCTCTCTAGTGTTTTTACAAGCCATCTCTTGCACTCCTAAATTTTTAATTTTCAAAGACATTTAATCCAATTGGTCATATTCAATAATGATCAGTTTTCTGTCTTACTGTAAACTAGAGTCACTGAAATTTAAGGTCAGAGGCATGGGTGGCCCTTTCTCTTTCTTCTGTCATTGTCTTGTTGACCTCCACTTTTCTCGCAACTATTTGGCTGCTGAATTAGGACTGGGGTTTATGGTTTATTGGGGTTTATCCCAGTCTGGGTCTTAATATTCAAACTGACTAAGGGTTTATGAGAATTTTATCATGGATTTGGTGATGAGGTCTTGAAAATGAATACTAACCAGAGAGGTTTCATTAGATATCTTCTAGAATATCAATATCTGAATTAGTATACCAAATATGCCAACCAAGGAAAATCCTTATATTAGTTCCAGAGATGGAAGAGAAGAATTATAGTGACTCCCAAGTTTTCCTATCAGAATACATCAGCTAAAAATACTTCTAATTCTCTGGGTATTTGTGGATATCTAGCCAAATTTTCTTGTTCTGGGAACGACATGGTTATATAATGAGTTTCCTGTCCAGAGAGTTGTAGAATCCTAAGGTAAACTGTGGGTGTTCTAAGGTACCTATTAAGGCAAACTTTATACAGCTTAAGCATATCATATATGATATCAAATTAAGAACAGAAATCAGAAAATTTAAATTCTTTTTGTAGTTCTACTTCTTGTTACCTATGATAACTTGAGCTTGTGATTAACTTCATTGAAGTTCAGTATTTTCATTTGCAAAAATGAGAGTAAGGGGTTGGGACTGTATCTCAGTGGTGGAACGCTTGCCTTGCACATGTGAGGCACTGGGTTTGAGCCTCAGTACCACATAAAAAATAAATTAATAAACAGAGATATTGTGTGTTCATATACAACTAAAAAACTTGTTTAAGAAAAATGAGAGTAAAAGAACTATTTCTCCACTACAGAATTGATAAGAATATTCAGATTGGAAAAGACAGGGAAATAATTTCATATATGAAAAAGTAGTATACAAACAAAAGTGGAAAACTTCAAGATAAATTTTAGACAAGGGTTATAAAGGAAATGAATTTTGTTCTGGTTCTTGGAGATTACAAAATACATTCTGGAAGTTCATACTATCTCAGCTTGTAAGCCTGGTATGGAAAATAACATTCTCAGATGTTCCTGTGGTGTCTGATCTTGGTAGAGAAGCTTGCTTCTAGCTATCAGAACATAACAAAGAAGAGGGTGGAATGTCACTCTTTTGACTAAGTTATAGTATGGAAAACATGTACTATTCCCAGGATCACCTAATGTTACATAAAATTTTTTTGTTATCAGATTGGAGTAAGAGACTACTCTAGGGTCCTGAATAAGCAAGGTGCCATGGTGAACTGCCTATGGAGACTACCACATAGCAAGACTAAGGAGACCTCTGGGAGCCAAGGACCCTAGTTTTACAAAACAAAAACAAAAACAAAAACAAACAAACAAACAACAACAACAAAAAACCCAACTGAATTTTGCCAACAAGTATTTGGTGATGTAATAGGATATAGAACTGCTACAGTTTGAATATTTGTCCTGTTCAAAACTAAAGCAGAGATTAATTGTCACTGTAACAGCATTAAAAAGTGGGACTTCAGGAGGTGAATAGGATAAGTTGAGGTCACAGGATTGGTCCCCATGATTGTGTTAGTGGCTATATAAGAAGAGGAAAGGATCCCTAGCATGCCATGTGATGTTTTTTGCCATGCTGTGATACAACGTTCATCAGATGTCTGTGCAAAGGTCTTGGATATCCCAGCCACCAGAACTGTGAGCTAAATAATCTATATCTGTATTAAATTACTCAGTCTGTGATATTAAGTTATTAGCAACAGAAAACATACTAAGGACCTCAGATGAATTCATAGTCCCAGCTGAAATTTTAATTGTAGCCTGTGGAACCCTAAGCAGATGACTTAGCTAAGCCATGTCCAGATTTCCTGATGCATAAAATATAAAATAATAAATAAATTTGTGTTATTTTATGCCATAAAGTTTGTGTTCATTTGTTTTGTAGTCATAGAAATGACCACATGAGGTTTCAGGCCTTTCCTTTTACATTCAAATTAAACTTTCTGGTTTTCCAGAGTTAATCTGATTTATGAATTAATAGTGCATCAATAATTCAGCATTTAGTTATTTTTATTTAATACACATGAATGATAAATATGCATAGGCAATAATGTAAATACTTTAAATTTATGATTTCGAAATGATTTACTCAGAGACATAGAGAGGTTTCATGGAGGTGTCTTTATATTACAGATTGGTAAACTGATAGAAAAAGAACATCCAAAAAAGTTCCAGGCCCCAATCCCAACTTTTCTGCTGCACATACAGCAATTCCTTTAAGAACACAGGTTTAAACTCATTTTTTAAGAGTTATTCAAATCATAAAACATTTGTCTTTCTTAAACCAAAGCATTTGTGGATGGTGGAGGTGAAAAAGTCAAAGGGTTCATCATCGTAATTTCTGTTTCAAGCATAAATACACAGCCAATAAAGAAAGAAATGATTAATATAGGAAGAAGGAGAGGGAAGAACCGAGAGATAGGATGCAGGAAAGGAGGAAACAATGCAGAGTTGACTCTTCACATCTGGGGATCAAACAACTGATGATCAAAAACTACTTGGGAAAAAATAATACTGAACATATACTGACTGCTTTTCTTGCCATTATTCCCTAAAAATACATTATACCAACTATTTGTATTACTGTTTACATTGTATTAGTCTTTGTCAATTACCTAGAGATGGTTTAAAGTATACAGAAGAATGTGCATGGGTTATATACAATTATCATGCCATTTTGTATAAGAGAATTTTGGTATTCCGGGGTGGTCCTGGAACCAATACACCATAAATACTGAGGGACAATTGTATAGAAAAACTTTATATCCCTAATATAAAGATACTAGTGTTATCTTTTAAAATGACTTATTTTGTACATTCATAGGATTTCATTTTCTTGTAGTCTTTAGAAACTATAGCATGTACCTTTTTAAAGGACAATTCTAAATACTAATAAATATATTAGTTCCCTGCTTCAGTTTAAAGGTGTTGAAATCCAAGCAAAATGATAATCACCAGTAGATAAAACCAGAAATGCAATATTTATTGCCTTGCATACACAAGGAAACCAGTAATAAGTGTGTTATTGATCAATCAATCAATTCCTTTATTGTCTACTTTCATTCTTACATATATGCTAAGACCGTGTGCCTTGGCCATCATCTACAACACTCACTTGAAGACATATTCAAAGAATTGTACATTTTCTTATTCATTGGTCTAAAAGGTAAATGCATTAAAAAGCTAAAGCAATTCAAGTTGCTCACTCATGCTCATTGAATTGAGACACTTAGAAAGCAACTAGAATTTCAAATGGCAAGATGAAATTCAAGTTCTCATGAACACAGAGAAGTAATTCCTGATGTGACAGCAATGTGCAAATGTAAGGCAGCTCAGAGATGGGCTCCAGTTTTTAAGAAAGTTCACTCAAACCCAATGAACTTGCTATAACATTTTATATTAGTTATAGGGCTGGAAATGGCAAAGCACTTAAATATGTCAACTCCTTTTAACTCTAGCATGTCTATCTTAAATATAATGCAAACCAACCCACCAGCTTTTATCTAATACACTTGCCAGCATCCTTAAACTTCCCCCTTTGACATCCTTGCTATTAAAAAAGTCAAGACTTTTAACAAGCTGTGAATCTGTAGAAACCTATTTTTTTGCTATTCAATCATGAATGAGTATATTTTAAAATGTACATGAGACATTAGACTTCTGAAAGGCAAATAGGGATGTTTCCCTTATAGGCTTCCAATTCCCACATTTCATTTACTGTTTCTTATGCTTTTCCCCACTAAATTTTAAAGCCAAGCCATGGGGAAATGATTTCTGTCAGTGTTCATCACTGCACACATCCTAGGAATCATTGAATTGGATCCTTACTATCACTTGGTGAGTACAAATTATGTGAGAGCTAGTGGGGCAGCAAAGAAGGATGACAAAGGACAAATGTGGCCAAGGAAAATATACAGGTCACTCATGACATTCCTGACATATTTTGAACACACACAGAAATTACATGCTCAGTCAATTATTTCTGTCCTAACTCAGTGATTAGGGGATTTTTTTTTTTACAACATAAAAGTAGAGAGTAATTGGGAAATAACTGAAATAAGGGGCTCATATGAGAAACTGGGTGTGATTGTGATGGTTTGAGGGATGTGCTACTCCATCCTCTTGTCAAGAGAATCTGTTGCTAATGACTGATTCTAGAGGACTGACTACAGTTACTCTGTATCAATCCACTTTTCATTACTGTAAGAAAACACTTGAGATATTCAATTTAAAAAGAGGGAAAGTTCATTTTGGCTCACAGTTTTGGAGGTTTCAGTCTGTAGTCACTTGGCCCATTGCTTTTGGGTCTGTGTCAAGGCCCCATAACATAGCTCAGAGAATGTGATATAGCAAGTGGTCATGTCATGGCAGGCAGGAAACAAAAGAGGATGAGGAAGAAGCTGAGTTTCCACTCTCCCATTCAAGCTTATGTCTCCACTGACCTAGCTTCCTTCCATTAGGCCTCTTACACGTTCTTCCAGTTGCTGCATGGGTCTTTTGGGCACGTTTAAGATCCAAGCTCTAGTATTCCACCCTTAATCTCCAAAGGCTCAGGTCCATCTCATAATGCAAAACACTCTCAGTGAATCTCCAAGGTCCCTGAAGTCTTAACTATTTCAAAATTGCTCAAAAGGTCAAGTTCAAAATCTTTTCTGAGACTCAAGGCAACTGTTGTGAGGCCCTGTAAAAATCTAAAAGAAAGTTATATACTTCTGGGATGCAATGGCATAGGACAAATACACTTCATGATTGAGCTCATTCAGATCTTGAAGTATCTCTACTAGAAGTTTTTTCTATAGGACTCTGTCATCCTGTGTAGTATTTCTTTAGAGCTGTTGATCTCTCTCTCTCTCTCTCTCTCTCTCTCTCTCTCTCTCTTTCCCCCCTCTCCTACTTCAGTACAAACTGTATATAAAGCATGTGTGATTATTGTTTTGAATTCAAGGCACAAACCTAAGCTGTACTTTTGTATGATTTCATGAAGTAAACCCCAAATAGGAGTACAGTTGGTGTTCTGGTCAAAGACTTGGTTGCTTGGTTTCATTTGCTTAGACTTCAAAAACATAAATGAGAATCCTAGTATATGCTGAGTGGCAAAGTTAGTCTCAATAAAGCTGGACAGATGCTTGATGGCACAATTAAAAAATGATATGGAAAACTGCCTTAAACACTGCCAATTCCATGTGGAACATTCTGGGGCCCCTGAAACTGACAGCTTTTTATTATAAAACCATAGTGGGTCACTCTTCACATAAGCTTACATAGGCGAGTGAGAATCCTCAGGCTTTTGCTGCTTTAAATACTTAGTACTTTCTTCAGAAATGATACAACTGACACTTCTTTGGTGTGTTAGGGTTTCTTTTCAGTTAAAATAAAAAATGTCATTTATATTTGAGCAGTCATTACTTTCTATAGTTCGGTTAAACATCATTCCAAAGAATATTGTACAGATGGTGTCTGTTGAAAGAATACGAAGCAAAATCGTATTGATTTCAGTTGCACTTTGCCTACTAGCATTTGCATCATAAATATCTTAAATGTGGAGCTTAGATATCACACAATGAAGAGAGTGAACAAGCTGATGTTTTTACTCTACAATGTGACAGATTCAAAGGCTTCATTTACATTACTTTAGATCTAGATAACTGAGTTTTGAGGTCCTGGGAATTTAAATCTTATTATTTCTTGTATTTACAAGTTTGAAATTGGTATTTTAGATATGAATAGGAAATTATGCTAATATGGGATTAAATGAATATTTATTAACTTGCTAGAATTTTAAGAACACTTGTCTATTGCATGTAAGCCCCAGTCTCCAGGTGGCTAGTTAAACCCACCCACGTGTTTTCAATTCACAAGGCATAGCCTCACCCCCATGTTGGGATCATAAGACTCACACAAGGACTGTGGATATGTGGAAACAACTTGCCCAATGCGATGAGCTCGGTGACATGATAAGTCCTCCATAATTCCATTTCAGAATATTGGTTAGAAGATGGTTAGAAATGTCACAAAAATATTATGCTAATAACAATGTGTATTATGCACTGCAAAACTGAAATTACACTTAGAAAGTTATCCTATATCTTTATTGCTTTACTGTCAGGAATAAGAATGAAGACTTGTCTCATGAAGATGTTTGTTCCAGAAAATGCTCATTGAACATAGTTCTTACTATAGAACATAGTAAATAATTCCACTGAATACTTCAGGAATTTGCTAAAAGTTAATTCTTCTGAATAATGGTTTGCTATATCAGCCTCTTCTCAAGACAATAGATCACCTAAGCAAGCTGTCTGCTTATCAAATAACTTTTTATAGTTAACACTCAAATCCTGCCTTCCTTTGACAAGCAACCCTGTGCTGTCATGAATTTCCTGAATTCTAATTGAAGTTCCATAAGGAAAGTCCCACCTTAAATCAAGGAACTCCAGACAGCAACACCCTCTAGTAATCTGCCCTAACCTCCTTTTTAGACTTTAACAAGCTTGTGCTCTTCTCTATGGCACTGTGGCAGTAGGAAACAAATTAGTTTTATATGATTGGTGAATTATTTTGGTGCTTTGGTGAGAGCTGTCCATAAATACATTACTTTCACCTTTTGATGATACAATCATTCTATAAATTGAAAGTGCCATAACTCAAAAATGCATTTAACATACCTAAACTCCCTGACATCATACATTAGCACCATGGAGTATGGGTCCTTCATGCACATGACCATGTGGCTGGCTGGAAGCTACAGCTTACTGCTGCTGAATACTTGAGTATTTTACTGCATGTTACTAGCCCATGTACAGGTCAAAATGCAAAATTCAAAGTATAGTTTCTATTAAATGTATATTGCTTTTCT